AAGCATTAGGATGTTTCACCTTGGAAACAGCTTTGTCCACCATTTCCATCTGATTTGATCCGACAGTAAGCGTTAGCAAATATCTTGGCTTGAAGGGAAGATCCTGGTAAGAACAAAAACAAAGTCTAGAATTGTGATCAACAATCGAGCAGAAAACTACTCACCTCCTCTGGATTCCCCCAAAGTCTACGCAAAAACAAATCAGTTTGTCCTTCTACAATCGTTGGTGGCAATGTTTCTGTCCCAGCAGCCTGCGTGAAAAACGAGAAAATATTTTTTTTGAAGAAATCTTCTACCAAAGGGGGAAAGAATGTACCTTGCAGATCACAGGTTTTCTACAGTCTTCCATCATGGATCGCATCGACAAAAAGAAGCTCGACTGGAGAGAATCAATCCCGATGTAGCTAAAGGCAATGAGAAAGCAATGCGCTACCTCTGAGAAAGTAATGCCGATAAAAATCCCCAGCATCATCGCAAAGAGGGTGGAAAAAAGCGCCTTGAAGTGCTCGCTGCGACATAGTCGGCGGATCATTGCCGCGAGCTGCGAGAGATCCCCTCCAGTGTCCACTCACAGGCGAGGGCGGCCAGAACAGACGAAAGGAAATATTTTCATTTTCCCCAAGAACCCTAAATACCAAATCCTTCTTTTTGCCCTTTTTAGGGCTCGGATTTTAGGGTTCTTGCGCGGAGAGAGCGAGGGACATGGGGCACGATGCGCCATATCTCACGCCCAAGGCAATCGCCAAGCGCCTCAAAGCCAAGGGCTTAGGCAAGCAGTGGCTCTACTGCCAGATGTGCCGCAAGCAATGCCGCGACCAGAATGGATTCAAGTGCCACTGCGAGAGCGAGGGTCACATCCGCAACATGGAGCTCTTCGCGGAGAAGGGCGACCAGCTGATCGAGGAGTACTCGCAGAGGTTTGAGGACAAATTCATGGAGTACATGCGGCGCTGCTACCGATCGACGAGTGTGCCGCCGAATGTGGTGTACAACCAGATCACGCGGGAGAGGAATCACGTCCGGATGAACGGCACAAGGTGGGCTACTCTCTCGGAATTCGTAGAGCATCTAGGCCAGACTGGGAAATGCAAGCTCGAGGAGACCGAGAAGGGTCTCCACTTGCGATTTCTCGAGGATCCGGATCATCCAGAGACGCAGTTCAAGGAGGGTCTCAAGAGGAAAAGAGCTAGCGGCGAGGCTGCGGATATCGAGCGGCACGAGAGGGAGATTCAGCTGCAAAGGGAGCGTTGCCTGATGGAAGTGGGAGCCAAAGGGGAGAAAAAGGAGAACTCCCAAGGCTTGGAAGACGAGGAAGACGAAGAGAAGCAAGACAGTGTCGAGCAAGAAAAAGATGGAAAAGATGGTGGCGAGGAAGAGAAAGCAGGTCCGACTGGTGATGTGAAGGTGGCGTTTAGTTTCTCCAAGAAGAAAAGCAGCAATCTTCCACCGCTTCCTCGGCCACCAGCGGCAGCGACTTTTGGAGGATCGATTGGCTCGTCCTCGTCGCAAAAAGCTCCTCCGTTTTGCTGGCTGAGCGAGGGATTGGTGGTCAAGGTGATGGCCAAGAAGCTCAAGAGCGGAGCGTACTACAAGAAGAAAGGGGTTGTGAAGAGCGTGGCGAGTGAGAAGGTTACCGGTGAGATTGAGATGCTTGAGGGTCATGGCGAGGTGATCAGGGTGCATCAGTCGGAGCTGGAGACTGTGATCCCACAGATTGGTCGCAGCGTGAGAGTGGTGAATGGATTGCACGCTGGCTGCGATGCCAAGCTCGTGTCTTGTGAGGAGGACAAGTTCTCGGTCACGGTGGAGATTAGCAATGGACCTCACCGAGGTAGCATTGTTGGTGGTCTTCCCTATGAAGACGTGTGCAAATTATCTTCTCCTAGTTAATTTAATCGTTCATTCAATTTATCTAGGTTTTGGTTTTTAAAGGTACACCAAATAAGAATTATATATACATATATATACATATATATATATACACACACACACAGAGATATATATATATATATATATATATATATATATATATATATATATATATATATATATATATATATATATATATATATATATATATATATATATATATATATATATATATATATATATATATATATATATATATATATATATATATATATATATATATATATATATATATATATATATATATATATATATATATATAGATATATATATATATATATATATATATATATATATATATATATTATATATATATATATATATAATATATATATATATATATATATATAATAATATATATATATATATATATATATATATATATATATATATATATATATATATATATATATATATATATATATATATATATATATATATATATATATATATATATATATATATATATATATATATATATATATATATATATATATATATATATATATATATATATATATATATATATATATATATATATATATATATATATATATATATATATATATATATATATATATATATATATATATATATATATATATATATATATATATATATATATATATATATATATATATATATATATATATATATATATATATATATATATATATA